TCAAAAGTATGGCGACTTCAGGAAATCTAAGATAGGTCATTATTACTGGCCGCCATAATCGTATTGTCCATTCTTTGCTTTTCGGAGAATCCTATTATTGAAAATAATCTTTCAGAGCCTTATTACCCGTAGTTGTTTATTGTGACGATTTTATATTTGGATTCCACACACTGAAATTTATAAGCTTCACTGTGTTATTTAATTATAGTTAATTTTGCCTCTCCTCTAGGATTGCCTCGTTTGTGTCTTCTAAGCACGCTTCAAGAGAATCGGAACCAAATCTTTCACGTAAAGCGGATATCAGCAAAAAATTCCGTGGATCATAGGCTAGAATTTACTTTCACAGCATGCTAACTCGCTCCAAAATACTATAGTGTATTGCTTAATAATGGATAAAATTTGTATTTGCCAACATAAGTGAAGATATTACTTATATCCGTAGTTAGTAGACACTGAATCTATCTCTAGATATTGGATAGGAACTTTAGTCGCTTTGACGATATGAAGACCAAGATGTTGTGGCTTCCGGTTTGGTCGCAGTCTTCTTTCGATTTATAGAAGTAGATTGACCTCGTTGTCGCAACTTTGTCTTGTTGTCCGGGAGACTTAGTAGAATGTGGGAATGATGCTAAGAATTATGCTAACTACTATGGAAAAGGACTTCGAACTAGGTGCGTTCTACTAAGTCTCCCGGACAATAAGAACAAGTTGCGACAACGAGGTCAACCCACTTCTTTAGTCTTCTTGGTTAATGTAAGGGCTGATATATTTTTTTCCTGAAATGTAATAATTTTTCTTCATCATGTTATTGAATTTTACATAGACTGAGTTCCTAAATCATTCTAGATGTAATTTATGAGTGGTCTGGCTTTAGGCGAAAGTAACTTATGGCGCTGGGTCTGCCGCTTAATGTACACTAATTATGCTCATGTACATTTTGAATTAGTGATGAAATTTAGGCGAGGTTGACGTAACCGTCTAGCCAAGATCACAAAGTATTTTGGCTTTTTTGGAGACCAAAGTATACGAAATTTAAGGGCCACGTGAGGTATACAAGTCTTACTAGGGGTTATTCAATTATCTTTGCTTGTATCGCCTTAATGAGCAAGGATGTATGAGGTTCTCATTCAAGTATTATTAATAGCCTTTAGGCATACTCATTTTCAGACTAATAAAATATGCAGTTTTCTCCCAAACTGGTATGGGGATTTATGACCTGAAAAAGCATTTTTTTAAATAACAGAATTTTCCGGAATGGTTGGGCTTAATAAGAAAAGAAGCACCATAGGTTCATTCCCTATTAAAATGACCAAATAGCTACATTATAATCATTTTGACCAGAATTATTATGAAAATATTCATTAAGTTTCTGCATCACTTATATAACCGAATAAAAGTATATCTACTCTTCTTATATCCCCACATAGCAACTCCTGCCTACAAGACAGAGCTTACTTTCATCCGACCAGTCGAGGTGAGCCTAAAAAAGGCTGATGAGGAGCAGATCGTCGAGTAAGTCCACTTTCTCTCACTTCGTTTATGAATGCACTTGAGGCTAGTCTTAATTTGAGATGCCTGGTCATATGATGATAATCTCACTTCGTTACACCATTCACACACACACAATGTTCCAGATTCGAGGCTCAGATTCTGGCCGATGTTCAGCCAATTCAAGTGACCTGGATGGTGGGTGATAGGGAATTGGTGCAGTCGGATCGTGTTGAGATGACGTACCTGGAGGACACCGGAGTGGCACGTCTTGTGATCCGCAAAGCCAGCCAACCAGACTCTGGCCAGTATACCTGCATGGCTACGGGAGAGGTGGTGGAGCCGACGACGGGAAGGCGTCTCTCGAGGACGATCACTTCTAGCGCCACTGTTCTAGTTGAAGGTACCGCATTCGCAGAAAATTTATTTTTCCATTATTTTCGTCTATTTTTTCCAAATATGCCATAAAACATTTTTTTATATTATTTTTTGGCAGTTTTAATGTACTAAATTTTAGGGGCTTTTGAGATATAATTTCCCAATCGCAAAGGAGTATGATATTGATGCGAATTTTAGTTTACTAACGTAGATATTTTTTTGCAATATGCATATATTAAATCCTCTTAAAGTAGTATTTCTTCACTTGTGAAGTTGTACTAACTATCATCTTCAGACAAGAGTTATAAATGATTGAATCCTATACGCTAGAAATAAGTCGTCTCAAGATATTGTTGCTTGTTACACCCAATTGTTTCGCTCCTTTGCCATCTGACCTCTAACAACTTACACATATTTTACAACTCAAATAGTAAAGATACGAAGAGTCACTGGGTTTCAATTAATCCCCTTAGATAACATCGTTAGGTAGACCTTCATTTCGTATGAAAGTGCATGAGGAGGAGATTCAAAGGTCGATCTTACCAGAAGATGAATGCCGATTCCCGTTGTATTGCAGCCGTTTGCCTTTAATAAGTGGTTCAGGTCCTGCAAATAGTATTGAAATAGGTAGATATCAAATGATTTGGCTAATTACTTTTTATATTGGTCATGGCAAATTTACATTAAATGTGTGTAATTATGGTAGAAAGTTGAACAATAACTACTTCTTCCTCAGTGAAAGAATGATGGAGAGATAGGGTATTGAGCCGCCATTTAAAAGAAGGCAACTTAACCTGTCAGCGCATCAATGGTCCTAACCTCGCTTAAACTCGTCCAACGTGTAGATTAAGCTTGTCAACTAAACTTTACGTGCGATACTACGCAGTCCAAGTCATACATTTCCTTGTATCGTTAAACCTTAATGACTCTAGACTGAAAGGTTAGGACATGTTGTTTAATGAAGACTTACACGTTAACATTCTTTAATCTCATTATATCAAGCAAAGTTGAAAAGGACTTACGCAGTCTGTATCAGGATTTTTCTGGGTAATTTAGCCTTGCTGACCAGAGCCTGATGTTAGGCTTTTTGGTCGCTTTAATTTAGCACCGGTATTGTGCATATACGCTAACACACACACACCCAAGTAAAAGTACTGTGACTAATATTAAATAT